TTTCATTGAATGTACCACTTCTCCAGCAAGAATAATGTTATTAAAAATTTTGTCTTCTAGGAGAGAAAGCATTTTGGTAAGGTGAGACAAATTTGTGCATGAACTCCTTCACTCTGCTCACAAGAATTTTTGCAACTAGTTTATAAGTAGTATTTGCAAGTCCGATAGGTCTAAAATCACAAGGTGATGACACATCTTCTTTCTTGGGAACTAGAACAATGTGAGTGCCATTAATATCAGAAATGAGAGATAAATTAACAAACAAAGATTGAATAAAATTGCAGAATTTTGCTGATCTTTTGGTCTAGAAAAGCTAGTTAAAGGGAAATGATTAATTGGATGGTCTTGATTAAGCCATGTAGACTGAAATGATTATATTGTGATTTCCCAATCAGCATCGGAAATAAAAATACTTCAATTTACTATAAGATATTGAATGAGCCACTTCATTTTTTTTGTTTGGTCTCTATTGCTTCAACACAAAAGGTTATGAAAATTTCTGTTACCACACATACGGTTAAGGTTATTAAAATTGCATTGCAAAATATTCAGCTATATTTCTCATCTTAAACTTGTAGGAACCATTGCTTGGTATAATGATATAGGTTGTATTTGGTATTATTGTTGTCTCTAGTAGAAACATTTAGAATTTATCTAAACAAATTTTTTGAGAAATTGTCTTGTCACATCAGATTAGATAACCACTTCCACTAAAAAATATATGCATTCGATTGGGTATTGACATAAAAATGGTATTAAATGTTGTGTTGATAACTTAAAAGCATTTGTGTTACCAATTGAGTGGTGGCTCGGTTGATATGTAAACTGGGTAGTCCCAGAAGAGGTGCGGTTTCGAGCCCCGCTATGGGCTTCCACCACCTTTCAGAGAAGAGTTATTAGTTTGTTGTACCATGCAAAGAAAAAATGATCTATGGCCCATATGGAGGCACACGACATGTGATTCAATACTAAAAAAAAAGAAATATTTGTGCTAAAAAAATATATATATTTTCATAAATATTGTTTTGACCAATTTAAAACATTGTAAATGGAAGTGGCAATGGTACAAAACACAACATACCATAGTACAAGAGTTGTAAAAATGAGTGCCAAAGGACATGTATATATCTATACTAGTCTATCCCCTTTCGAAAGGACCCATGTGGTTGAGACTAACATTGAGTAAAGATCTTTATTGTAGCTCCTTTTACAGAGAGGTAAGGTTTCTTGCCCGTTCTCTATCTCCTTTACATTGAAACAAATACAGCCTTAACAATTATTTGAAATACATCCATTGAACTTTTTATATTATGAGTATTCATAGGGGCGAGCATGGGTTGGTTGGGTTTGTTGGTTCCAAGGCAGAACCTAGAACCTATCTTATAGGGGTTGGTTATAGGTTTTTGGAATCAAAACCTCCCCCGTCAAGATTAGTTTCAAGGTTGGTTTTGGCCTTTGGCAGTTTCAAGGTTAATTCCAGAGTCTATCCATGAAACTTACTGTTCTTTCTTTACCTAAAAATGAATGTTTTTTTTAAACATAAATATTTCATAACATTAAGAATCAAATTAGATAGCTATAAATGTTGTAGAGTTTTTGAAATTATAACCTTCACCACCACCACCACCACCACCACCACCAATAACAACAACAACAACAACAACAATAATAATAATAATAATAATAATAATAATAATAATAATAATAATAATAATAATAATAATAATAATAANAATAATAATAATAATAATAATAATAATAATAATAATAATAATAATAATAATAATAATAATAATAATAATAATAATAATAATAATAATAATAATAATTAATAAAATATAGTTCAAAACTTATCAATATAATTTAAATTTTTTAAATATTACTTTTTTATATTACTTATTATACATATTCAAATATTAAAATGAAGAAAAATAAACAACTCACCTCAGTGGCTTGAGTTCAATCAAGGCCAGACCCACCAAGGTCAACTAAGACTGGTTCCACCAAGGCTAATCTAGGTTGGTTCCATCAAAGTCAACCAAAACCAGTTTCACCAAAGCCAACTAAAGTCAGTTTAGGTAGGGAAAACCTCTAAACCCTGGAACTGGACTGGGTGGGGGTTGGTTTGAAGAAGTTGAATCCAAACCTACTGATAACAGAATGGGTAGGGTCAATTCGAGGTTGGTTCCATTTGGTTTTGGATAGAACCAAACTATTTACTCACCCCTCCTATTATTTTAGTCTCAAGTGTCCCTTTTTGCCCAGGTCTCTTTTTGCTTGGCTGGTGGCATACATTGTACAGATTGTAATTCTCACTTTTTTCTTTTTTTTTTATTTACTATAAAAAATTTTTCTTATAAGGCTTTTTGAAAGCAAAAGTGTAAAAAAAATTCAATGAAAAAGTAAAGCAAGATGAATACATTATACATAGAAGGGGAACTGTTATATAGGTAAGGGTGTCAATAGACCGGTTTTGGATTGGACCCCATCCAGTCCAAAATCAATTTGGACAAATTGGATGGACCAACAAGACATATTTGATTGGACCAATCCGGTCCAAAATATTTATTAGATTAGATTGGACCTGGTCCGCCTTTAACAAATTTATATTGAATTGGGTTGGATTAAGCCAATATCTGATCCATTGATATAATATAAGAATATATGTGTCAATGGACCGGGTTTGGGTTGAAACTAGTCTAAATCAAAATAAATTTAAACAGATTGGACGGTCCAGACATTAAATTGGACCGGTCCAAATTAATCCAAAACATTCGTTGGATTGGATTGTACCTGATCCATTTATAATGGACTCACATTGGACTGGATCGGATTGGACCAAATCTAGTCCAATTGACACCCCTATATAATATATATAATATAGGGGTTTCTTTTTCTTTTTCTTGTTAGGTCCAATTCTGGGATGAGATAGATGGTTTTGACCATCAACAAATCAGTATTAACTGAATTTGGTTTTGGAGTTGTGTCTTATTTTGTGCCATTGAAGTAGCTTTTAGTAGTGCACCTAGCGTATACTTTCTGCGTTTTTTTTTTCCTTTTTTAATAAAATAAATAATACCTTTCTTTAAAAAATATGGGAAATAATTAAACCAACATCTGAAATTTATTGCATGAATGCAGTTTAAAACAAAAGGGTACGTAGTTTTAATTGATGATTTCCACATTAGGGGGCTGTTCGATAAATGCTAAATTGTGAACCGAATGTTTTGTTGGTTTCTTTTTGAGTGGATAGAATAGGGCATATAATAAAATATTTAGGGATATTGAAGATGGCATCTCAAACATTGCATTATTAACTAAGGAACTCAGATCCTATTCAATTATATATTTCATTAAGGCTGTGTTTGGTTGATAAATTTGCATTGGTGCAAAGTCATGGAAATGCAAATGCTATGAGTGTAAATTTTGACCTATTTTTGTGTCAAATTTTAACTTATTTTGTTTGGTTGCATTACAAATGAAGTATGTTAAAACATGAAGCAGAACAAAATAAAATCCAAAACAAAATTAAACGAGGATTTGCATTTTTTACATTTACACTCCCATGCATTTATACTAGTGCAAATAAAATTGCACTGCAACCAAACACAGCCTAAATGACAAACGCCTAAAAAGTTCAGTTCTTCCAATTGAGTCATTATCAAATGGCCCCTTACATCTGGTAGGGCTGTCAATACACCTCAAAAACTTCCGATTACTCGGATTTTGATGTTTAAACCTGCATTTGTTAGTAATTGGATCAGATGCAGATTTGACCGAACCCCCTCCAATTTGGTAATATAATAATATATTATATATAATAAATATATATTAAAAAAATATTATTTTGTTATTTTCTTTATTTTAATGATAATAGAGTGGAGTCAGATAAAATCCAAATTACTAGATTCAAATAAAAATTGGGTTTAAAATTTCAATAATTGGCCTGGATTGAGATTAAAATTTCATGCATATTAGAAATGATTTGTAAGTCTAAGGAATCATTTAACCTAAAAGCTTAAATTGTTAGATGAAGTACTTGAAATGAACTTTATTTTCTAACACACCCTTTCACATAAAAGTCCATTGGGCTAGAAATAAGCACAGGCGCATCCATACTTTCTGTTGAAATTTAATTAATTATAATAGAACTACTGGGATTGAACACCAAACCACTTATTCAAATAGGCTCTATACCATCTTAAGGAACTGTTCAACATAAAACCTTAAGCTGTTAGGTGATTCCTGAGTAGGTTTTTATTCCTTAACTGAATGATTATTTTTCTTGTATTTTGTAGTCCTATAGTCAATCCTATTAACACATTAATCACATAACTAAACATGTTGACGATAGTCGATATATACGCAGTTGTTCGATTGCCTGAAGATATATATATATATATATATATATATATATATATATTCCTAAAAAACCAAACTTCAACATTCAAAACCCAGTTCCAAAGGGCTAAGAGAGCTTCATATGATATGGTTGACGAATTCCAAGCCATGACTCAGATTACGTGCTCGCTCACACAAGATATATAGAAAACAAGAAAATAACATTTACGAATAGACTAATGGATGTATGAATCTTTGTTTTATTAATTTTATTTATACACTTGTACTCTCAGAGCCTTCTCATTGGGTTCTAATAGCTTGGAAACCACTTTCCTAGCAAGAGAGATTAGCAATCAATGTCATGGGTTTTTACCTGGGGGGCTGGGCTTTAACTAGTCAACTGGCTTATACTAGCGATTTCAACAAACCCCAGATGGAATTAATTAACAATTCCATATACCAGCAGACTTTATTAATTCCTTACGTAAACATGACCATGATGCATGATCTAACATATATATTTAAATTAAAAAAAAAGAAAAAAAAACTTAGAGTTGTTCAAATATCTATTGCTCATAGTTTCTCATCGGGTCAGAGTAGTTGCCTATATAATGATCAGGCCCTTCTCCCATTCTTGGTTCATTGAGAAGTAAATAAAGCATCAGATTTTCTGAATGTTTTTATTTCTTTTCTTACTTGGATGGTGGATCAAATTAAGACAACCTCATGGGAATTGAATTGGGTTTTGTCTAAAGTTACAGAAGGGATGATCTAATGGAAGCTTTACATATTTCAGGATATGGGGTTTGGCTGCAAGATAATAAATACTGTGTCATATCTGACCAGTCACCACATGCACTGACAAACCCCATAGCCTGAAATATGTTAGTTTTCATTACTTTAATCCTCTTGTCACTTTAGATGAAACCCAATTCAATTTTGGTGATGCTGCTCTTACTTTCACCATGGAAGCTCAATAAAACCTTTGGGCATCATCAGCTTGCCTATTGAGATGGCAAAGATGCACGGCATGGAGTGATTGCTTGGATCACTGCCAAGTTACTGTTCGTTGATATGAGTAAGTCCTCTTATCTCCATCTAATATATATTTTGTTAGTTACTAAAAATTAAACAACTCTATATTATTTTTTACCTAAAAAAGAGGAAAAAAAAACCCTTAATTACCATGCATTATTGGAGACAACATTATCTCTCTAGTACTATTTGTTAGCGGAGGATGAGGATGATGACTTAGTATCCATATATAAGAAACTTAAACGCTTTTTCTCTCTCAAAATTACCATATGTCGATCTATTCTCATTAAGAATCATATTTCTATTGGGGGGATTATCTATTGAACACATGGGCATCATGTTATGCGTGTAGTTTTGTTAATTTTTCTATTTTTAAATTTTGTTAAGATAATTATATTTTACAGAAGAAAAGTGTTGATATATCAACAACTCTATCTTCTACATAAGGGGCTTGAGTAATTTTCTGGCAATTTTTTTTGTTTTTGATTGAGTATTCATTTTGGGGAGTTTCGATCTATCTTGTAGAACACTTTCTATGGTCTTAGAGATGACCAAACCATCCATATATACTTCTCTGGCTCAAATTGAAAAGGATTTGCATCTGGTGGCTTGAGCATGCCCAAGACTGAAAAATTGGTTGATTCAGAAATGATTCCTTTTTTACTGGCACTCACCTTTCAGAAGGCACTCTATGTTCATGGTGGCTGTTTTCCTGGTTCCCTTTATTTTTCTTTTGCCTGTTAATACCTTTAACAAGTTTTGATCCCATTTTTCCTTTTATCTTCCTTTTTCTACTTCTTTTTCTTCTGATGAGGAATGAAAGATACGTAACTATTATATATTCTTATTATCTTCTTCTTACCTCCTCCTCGTCTGAGAGAGAGAGAGAGAGAGAATTCCCTGGATACGAGAATACGAGATACTATAAATGATCAGCATGTTTTCATAATATTCTCCTATAGAGAGAGAGAGAAGTTTTTCTATTTTTATTATAGAGAAGAGAAGCTTTTAATATAATTAGGAAGTTGATCTTAGTTAGAACTGTTTTAGTACGTGGTTGTAAATTAATATATAGTTATTCGGTTCCATGATTCAAGAACTGGTAGGACTATATGGCTTCTCTACATGCATGCATGGAAAAATTTTGGCACAAGTAATGGGAGCCAATCACTTCGGAGAATGTAACTAAATTGAACCAATCTTAATATTTTCTTTTACAAATAAATATGGAATAAACTACATAAATAAACAATAAATTCAACTTGGTCAAAATCTCATTCAAGAAAAAAAAGAAAAACCTCTAATTTTGATACAAATTAAAAACATTTTTAGCTGATTTCTTCCTGCAAGATATTTTTCCTGTATTAACGACCTCCTCCCTATAGAGAATTTCATGTTATGGCTTAATTTACTGGCATCTAAGTTGAACCTGCAGGGGGATACCCACAGCTAGAGCCCAACACACTAAGATAAAACGGTGGCAATGTCTCGTTATTGATCATGATATATAGGAAAGGATGGATGATGATTCATCGTGGCCAGATGGAGCTTTAAATTTGAAACCTACAGAAGCTTCATCAGTATTTTTGGAGGGACTAATATTTGCCAGAGATTTTGGATTCGTGTCGTGACTCGTATAATTGTGGAGGGAGGTGCTGTGGTTAGAATCCTGTTGGGTGATTAATATTCATTTACATTTCTTACTCGTTATGTGTAAGATGTTAGTCCATCTCATTGCAAAGAATGTCTGTATTCTTTCCAGACTAGCCACTTAGGAGGTTCAAATTATCGATATTCTTGATATGAATTGAATTTTTTTGAGTGTATCAAGAGTTTCAGTTGATCAAAACTTTTTTATTTTTTTATTTTTTTGCATGGATTTACATTTGACAGGGGTGTATGTTGTAATAAAAGTATATTAGTGACTCTACTGATACAATAAACTCTGTGTTGGATAGGGGTGTCAATTGGTCCAATCTGATCCAGTTCAATGTGAGTCCATTATAAATGGATCAGGTCCAATTCAATTCAATGAATATTTTGGACCGGTTCAATTTAATGCTTGGAGTGTCTAATCTGTTCAAATTTGTTTTAATTTAGATTGGTTTCAACCTAAACCTGGTCCATTAACACTTATATTCTTATCTTATATCAATAAATCGGATATTAGGTTAATCCAACCCAATCCAATATAAATTTATTACGGATGGACCATGTCAAATCGAATCTAATAAATATTTTGGACCGAATTGGTCTAAATCCAAGAGATAAATGGATTGTACTCCCTCTCAGAAATCTAGAATTACAGCCACCTCCTAGTCTACTAATAGCCCCCATTATAAATCGCATCTTGCCCATAAATTTAGCATCAATCCACCATCAAGATTCATTCCACCCCTAAGGTGGAATTAAGATTCATAAGAGTGAACTGAACAGTTAAAACCCCCCAATCCAAAATGCCTTGTTGGTCTGTTCAAATTGATTTTGAATTGGATGAGGTCCAATCCAAAACTGGTCGATTGACACCCTTAATATTGGACATGCTCAATACTTCAAACCGTGGTCAATTATATTGGCCTGTATATACTAAATTAATTTATGAGTTTCTACTAAAAAATAAAATCAATACAAATAGGTGTAATTATCCTTGTAAGTATAAGTCTAGATGCACAAAGATTCTGCTCAGCTTTTCACACCGTGGGCCAAACATCCACGTAAGAAGACACTCATACATCATTATCTGATGTGGCCAAGCTATGTACTGTTGTGGAAGCAGACAAATGAATAATTCTAATATGCAGCTCCGCTTTGTGAAACACGCTATCTTAAGCTTATCCACATGTCCTTTAATTTGACCTCCACTTGCCTTTGCTCTGCAACATATATATATATAAGCACTAAAGTCTTAATTAATATATTTCTCTTCTCTGCCTTGAAACCACCCAAGAGACTTTTGGGCATTCGACCCCTCTCAGTCGACGCTTCATGCATTAATGGCTACCCCTATCAATTTCTGAGTTTTGACAATCTCAGAGGGTACGAAGAAAGAGAAATAGATAAGCTTGGGCCAAATAAAACGTATTAGAAATGAATTATCTTTATACTATTCCAGAATGTTGGTATCGATTCAAATATGGAGTAGGTGAAGGGTTGATTCAAATTTCCATTTTGAAGTGACAGATGGGCGTGTTGAAAGGAATTTTGTACAGAGAGGTTCGTGACCGGTTATCCTCGAAAAGAAGAAAATAATTCCACTTGGAATGGAATTGGACGTAGACGTCGACGTACGTACAACCCCCTCTTGGCAAAGCTCATATGTACTGTAAACTACTAGAACTATTACCGTGGATAGGGGTGTCCATCAAAAACGAAAAACCGAAAATCGAACCAGAAAACTGAATCGCAAAATATGATTAATCGAATCCGTTCGGTTTTGGTTTGGAATTTTTGAAAAACCAAAAGATTGGAATCGATGATTAACCGAATTGATCGATACATATATTTTTATATATATTTTTAATATATGTTACATATTTTTTATGTATTATATATAAATATATATTCATTATATATATATATATAAATATATACTTATATTATATTTATAATGATCTGTTTATAAATATATTATATATTTTTCAAATATTTATAATATATTATATGTTATTTATTATTTATTACATAATATTATACATATATTTGTATAATATATATTATAAATATAAAAAACCAAGAAACTGAAGAACCGAATCAATCAAAAACCGAAACCGATGGACCGGTGGTACCGGTTTAATTTTGGTTTGAAGAATTGGAAAAATCGGTACCACCAGTTCGATTTACAAAAAAGTATCATGATTTGGTTAACCGAACCATGAACACCCCTAACCGTAGATGCTTGCTGGGCTCGACTACACAATATCCCTTTAATTGAAATATTTCTTGTTCAAAAATCTTGTAACCTAACTTAGGTTATCCGGTTCAAACCTGAAGGAGGCGTACGCAATGGAGGGTCTAGAGCGATGCTGACCAGTGACCAATTTAAGGCCAATAAATTTCTAAATAGAGAAGAGATTATTACTTAGGGTCCATTTGGTTAGTAGTCAGAATCAGAATCGAAATCTTTCGAAATTGAAATTGAAATGGTCTATTCTCATAGTCAGTTTGATTTAGACATAAATGAAAATAAGATTTGGAATCAGTAGAAATGAGATTTCGTTTCTAAGGGAGGGGTAGGGAATGGTCATTGTCATTTTCTCAAATGGAAAAATGTCATTCCAGCAAGAATGAAAATGTAATTCTAAATCTGCCAATCAAACAATTGGAACTGGAATAGTTCATTTCGGTTCCGATTCCAGACCCCTATTCCTGTATACCAAACGGGGTCTTACTGTAATTAATGATAATAAAATCTCGAGCAGACAAGCATGATAAAGTGGGTTTAATTTTTATTTTTATACGGGAGTGGGGCCCATGTCTTGAACCCATAACCTCCTAACCTGGCAGAGGAATTTGATCTCACGTCTCTCCACTACATTAAAGGCAATAAAATAACCTAAGGCATCATTCTGTTGCCAAGAATTTGTGAGTTAGAAAATGAATGAATTCAATAAATTGAGAAGTGTTTGGTAGGCATATGAATAGGTTGGTGGGTGGGTGGGTGCAACAATCAAATTATCTAAATTTCATTTTTTTTTTCTCAAAGTTATTATACCTTGTTTATAAAATTATGGACGAATTCAAGAAAAGACGACAGATGCTTTATTTGTATTCAAAATAAAATTTTATTTATATCAAAATCATTATTCTGAAATAATTAATATTGGCAGATCACTTATATATACATTCTTCTAAAAAGAGGACGGAACACTATCTAATGAATAAAATTTAAATGATTCAACCTACTTAAAAGATATACACATCTTTGGAGAATAGAACGGAATAATAAAACAGGATTCATGTAGTTGACCACATATAATTGAGACAAGGCTTGAATGATGGTGATGATGATAACGATGAAGTGTTGTTAGGGTTCATCTCATTTCATCTAATTAAAATTGATTACTTCTGTAATGATCTAATTTCTTAAGAAGTTAGAGATCGAATGATAGAGATTAGAGAAAACAAAAGAAATTATGTAATTTTCCATGTCATCCAAGCAATCCGGTAGCAAATTGACAGAGGGGGAATACTCTTATCCGATAGCAAATTGATAGAAATCAATGTGATCGGTCCGAAGGGGAGAGTGGGCCAAGAATATTGGCATCTTGGGCCTTAACAATGGGCCATCATGCACTTTGATGGGCCAATATATATATATTTTTTTGAATAAGAGTCTACTTCATCTATGGCCACTAAAACATAGGGCATGCAATGGGTTGGAATTTGAGCACCTTAATGATTAATTCAATAAATCCTAGTCTGCATCTAACAAATTTTAGACCTTAGTAGATTTGGATCCGGATTGGATCTAGTGAGTATGATTCAATATCCGATCCAACTTAATTTAACACAAACTGTATCTGACCCTATTCATAACTAAGGTTAGGAATGTTATTAGGAAGGGCCTAAATTGCAGAGGTTTTTAGCCTACATTTGTATTTGCACCAAAAATATCAGTATTTGCACTCTTCCTAAATGGAGAGAAAGTTTGGTCCCCTTTTCCTGAGTTTTAAACATCTAGAACCTGTTTTTGGCTATACCAATTGCATTTTTAGTATATAATATAGATATTAGTAATTAAAAATTGCATCTTTTTTCTTCTTTTGTTTTGAAATACGTAATTTTTTTCTTCTGACATTAGAGGGATCGGGAGGCATGCATTGAACCTAGATAAGAAAAAAGAAATAAAACAAGACATGCAAAAAATGAAAAAAAAAATCCAGAAAATGGGAAGCAAGTACCAGAAGGCCATTTATCTATTCCCTCTCATAAGGGAGGGAGGGTAGTCATGGATCTGGGTTTGAGACCCAGAATCCACCTCACCTATAACATCGTAGAAATATACCAAAATATCGAGCCCAACCGGATTTCACAAGAAGCTAATTTCTATATTGTTTGTGTATTTTATCTGTTAAAGCTGACATTTTGGGCCAATTAATTCTTAAATAAAACCCATTTTAATTGGGCCTATTCTGCTCTACAGGCCCAGTAGGCCCACCAAGATATTGCCTTTTTTACTCAATAAATTATTGGATTTTATATATTATTTATGATGGGAACAAAGTGATAGAGAGGCGTTACTTCCCTTGAGATGCAACGCAAAGGGAAGTCTCTTGAATGTCATTCATACAGAGAGAGAGAGAGAGAGAGCAAGTCATACACGCATTAAGGATATGCACTTGACCGTAGCAATAAGTACACCAACAATTGAGTTCATTTAATTATTGGAACCGTCTAGAACACAAAGACCACATGGGTCGTTGTCCTTGAATAGATTTGATACAAAACTAATTATGTTTAATTTGAATAGACAAAATTACTTTACGCCACCTTTGCATCTAGCTTTTCAATCCAATTGACATTTCAAAAGTTGATACATGGCGTGAGGAATTGCAATTAGGATTACTGAATTAAAGAATCTTGACAGATGTTACTGTAGATCATATATTTTCAATTGTCTTTGTATGATTGTGTCATATGCTAGATGGGTGGTGGCTCGGTTGGCATGTAAACTAGATAGTCCCAGATTATCAACTTTCACACCATCTTTGAGAAGAGTTATGAATGTTGCTAGATAAAAGTCTTATACAATGTCATGTTAAATTGAATTACGGCCTCTGTAGAGGCAAAGGCGAATAATCAATAAAAGAAAAAGATAGGGATCTGTTTGGGAGGACTGAGCTGAAAATTCAGCTAAACTGGTTCAGTTACGTTGCATATATGAAATAGAAATTAATTTTAAATTAAAAATCATATATGAAATAGAGTTGCATAATCTATCTAAGGATAATGTAAATGGTTAAACTTAAATATTGCGATTAAGATAAAAATCAATATAAAAACGGTCATTTAGTTAATTAATTCCTTTTAGCATAACTTAGGGTCAACGATCATGAGCATATAACGAGGACCCACCAATTAATATTTACCGGTCGCGTATTAACTCTTAATGCAGATGACTAAACTTAATCATTGTTATTAGTATAGAAATATTATAAAAAAGGTCATTTAGTTAATTAATTCCTTTTAGCAGAACTTGGGTCATTATGAGCATATAATGAGGTCCCATCAATATCCAAGGAAATAACCAGCCATATCATCAAAGTTAACAAATTATAACTAATTGCCTACCAAATTATAAATAAAATTATGTCAAACACTGAATCATGCCATGACTTCTCCCTACTTGTTTTCAAACCATACCTGCTCCTTGAAAAACAAGCAAACAATATAGAGATAATCCACGGTTGTCGTTCACCTACTCAGTAATACCTCCTCAATGAACCCATTTCGTGGAAAAAAAAGCCAACATATACGAGAGAGAGAGAGAGAGAGGGGGGGGGGGGTCAGATATTACAAGCCCACGAGTCAGATTTCGCCCACGGCTACAGAAAGGACAGAGGAGGAGAATAGAACCATAGAAGAATAAAGAAAGAAGAACAAGACAAAGGAATATGCCCACATTTCAACCTTCAAAGCATTTATACGTAAAGCCTACGAATTGACTCATGAGTTATAAATGCGCAGTTTTCTTTATTTTATTCAAGTTGTATATACTCAAGGCCATTTGGTTGAAGCCTAATAGATTGGAACAAAAATTCTACCAAATGAGATTGGTTTTCGATATGGTGAGCCTTGACGTGGCTGTCTGCGTTAAAGTAGTCATGTTTTACGTGGATTACATACAAACCATTAGCGTAGATTAGCGGCTTGAACAAGCCGTAGTTGGAATTCAAAAACTACCAAAAACCAGGATTCTCTCTTATTACCTACACATAACCCCACAGACCCCAGGTTTTTCCTATAAAAGGAGCTCAATCTTGCATTCTTCAAGCATTGGAAGTTGAAGCATCAGACGAAACTAGGGTAGTGAGTTAGAAAATGTGCAGAGTCTCCATGGATAAGCTTGTGTTAGGTTTTGTGTGTATTTCTCTTGCTTTGGTCATTGGGGTGGTGAACTCTGAGACAATATCATCTTGTAGCCAAACCCCATATCCTGAAATATGCGAGTCTTTCATCAGTTCTAATAAACCTCTTGCCACCTTAGAAGAAACCCAATTCAGTTTTCGAGAGTCTGCCCTTAGCTTCACCATGGACCAAGCCCTACGAGCCCATGGGCTCATTTCTGCTATGGACTTGAGCTCATTTGATGACAAGGCCAAGGTGGCGTGGGCTGACTGTGTGGAGCTTTATGCTGACACAGTCACCCAGCTTAACCGCACTATGGGGTCTAAGAATCCATTGAGCTGGTCCGATGCTCAGACATGGCTGAGTGCCGCCATCACCAACGAGCAGACTTGCCAAAACGGATTCACTGAGCTAAACTTGCCATCTTACTTGTCTTCCTTTCCCTTCATGTTGAGTAACTTCTCCAAGATGGTAAGCAACTCGCTTGCCATAAACAAGGCAGCGGCTTCATCAGTTGCATCTCTGATGGGTAAGCAAGGTGGCAATCGCCGGTTGCTTTCTGATGGCTTCCCGACATGGGTCTCAGCTGCTGACAGGAAGCTTCTTCAGTCATCGAGTGCAGCTTCACAAGCTGATGTTGTGGTTGCTGCAGATGGCTCTGGTAATTACAGGACCATCTCTCAGGCAGTGGCTGCTTCATCCAAGAGAAGTGGGAAGAGATTTGTTATATATGTGAAACGGGGTGTTTACAAAGAGAACGTTGAGATCAAAGCTTCAAACATCATGTTGATCGGAGACGGGATCGACGCTACAATCGTTACAGGCAGCAAGAACGTTCAAGATGGTTCCACTACTTTCCGATCAGCAACAGTTGGTAAGTTCTACAATTGTCAATTCAAATCCTGTTATGCAAAGATATCTCTTAGTTCACTAGTTATTTATTATAAAAGATTAAATAAAGGAAATTCATTAGTTCTTTATTAGTTTATTAATTCACTTGTAGTTAAATAAATAAATGCTTAAAATATACAAATACAATAAGAATCCAAGTTTAAATAAAGTACTTAAAAACATCTCAGACCTTTTGAACCTCTTATGCCTTAAAGCTTTTAATTTGTGTTTTGAACCTTTCTAAGCCGCCTAAAGCCTTAAAGCTTTTAACCCCTATTCTCTGGTCATGTCTAAAGAATTCTGAGGTCTTTTTGTTGTTCTTGCTTGTACTATCTATATAAAGTTTATGCTTTTAATCGTCTTTTATACTCTTCATTTGCTATCTAGTCAAAAGAAGGGCTAGATGGTCTTTTCCACTTTGCATGGCCGAAGTCAATGAGACAACCCATAGCGCACCACTCTCTCTCTCTCTCTCTCTCTCTCTCATGTGTTATTATGTGACTTACGTGGACTTTATTTTTATCTCCTCCAGCGGTCACCGGCGGTGGGTTCATTGCCCGGGATATGACGTTCCAAAACACGGCCGGACCCCAGAAGCACCAAGCAGTTGCCCTCCGCTCAGGTTCTGATCTCTCAGTGTTCTATCGTTGCAGCTTCAAGGGTTATCAGGACACCCTATACGTCTACTCTCAACGCCAATTCTACCGCGATTGCGACATCTACGGCACTGTCGATTTCATCTTCGGAGATGCTGTGGCTGTCCTCCAGAATTGCAACATCTACGTCAGAAAGCCCATGAGCGGTCAGAAGAACACGGTGACTGCTCAGGGACGGAAAGACCCCAACGAGAACACAGGCATCTCCATCCACAACTCACGGGTGACGGCCGCTTCTGACTTAAGACCTGTGCAGGGTTCATTCAAGACCTACCTTGGTCGGCCATGGCAAAAGTACTCAAGGACAGTGTTCATGAAGACATCTCTTGATAGCTTGATCGACCCGGCCGGATGGCTTGAATGGAGCGGCAACTTTGCTTTGAGTACTTTGTATTATGGGGAGTATATGAACACAGGTGCGGGTGCAAGCACCAGCCGGCGTGTAAAGTGGCCGGGGTTCCATGTCATGAGTGCTTCTGATGCCGGAAAATTTACAGTCGGGAATTTCTTGGGAGGAGGCTCTTGGATTGCGGCCGCCGGAGTCCCCTTCACTTCCGGGCTGTGATTTGTTCTAAAGCATCTTTCTGTCAGCAGACAATATATAGGCTATTTGTATGAGATCTATATTCATTAGTTTGGTAGAGAAATTGTAATATAGTTTGTCCTGATTGAATTCCTTATTCAGTTATTTGTATGGAATTGAAACTAATAATGTATCAATTATTATTCTACTATCAATAAATTAATAGAAGTGTGGATATTATATCGTCAGTTTGTGGACATTCAATGATTAATTCAATGGTGGAACACACCCAGGCAACCATATTGAATTTCTAAAGTCTTATGATATATAGCATGGACACACTGATTCAATCTAATTAAGCACTTCTTCCAACAAACGTCTCTGATAATCTTTCCAAATATAATTAAGCTATATATAGAGGGTCCAGATCATCATATCACATACCTATCTTGTGGGACCATGACATAAATGTATCACAAACTCTTACACGTGAGATAGATGATATTTGGAAGTCGGCATATTGACGTGGTTTGGAACGATGGGGACCAAGAGCCTAGCCGGCTAGCCGTTTAAGATTTATTACAAGTAGTGGTGTAGTGATGGGTTATTACTTATTAGATGCCAAAGCAAGTTGCAGTTAAAGAAATTAATTAATGATGCTAAAGTTGACGGACTCAAGATTTGTCTTGGAAAAAGATAAAATATATAAACAAGACGAATCATCAGTAATTCAGTCTTTCCTTATATTTAAAACTGTGTTTGGTTTGAAAGAAAATGAATGGTCCTTTTTCTGCTCTTTACATAGTGCTTCTCACACCAGTCTTACGGTCACATCTCACCATATACTGGGAACATCACCAATGAATAACAATATACAAGTATCGATGCGTGCAACTGGTACAGTACATGTTGTGAGGTTGGTATGAGAAGCAGATCCGTACTCTAGAATTACAAAGAATCATGCTGATCTTTTGGTAGTCTAAGTAAATATGGTTAAAGGTAAGTGATTAATTTGATAATCTTGATTGGGGTCATGTTGACCGAAAAACTTGAAATCATTTCTTTCATTTTCCTTTAGATTTGGGATCCAAACATAAGTGTAATGAGTTGTTCTATTAAGGATAATGATATGGATGAACTTGTTATATTACCAAGATGGATGGATATAGACTACATAAAGTCGTAGATAGAATCTAAGATTTTGAATTATTTGAATATGTTTGATTTGTCTTAATCTATAAATATAATGTAATTACTATATTCAAGGAATGCAATTTTTTTAATGTTCTCTGAAATTTTACATATTCCCAGCTATTAAAAATTGGAGTGAGGTCATAAAAGGAGCGCTTTTAGATAATTTTTTGTTTGGTCTCTATTGCTTCAAGAAAATGGCTGTAAATTTTGCATTGCGAATTAAAAGATAGGTAATATCTAAGGTAAAAGACTTAAACCGCCCTCCATTTATCCAATAAATACTAAGACCTCCCCTATATATTTAAAATGGACTAAGACCTCCCCTCTCTCACTTGTATTAATGTTGACTTGTTGGGTTTTTAATCGAATTATAAAGAAAAAAATTAAACCATCCTCAACATTAGAAACAACTAATTTGACCGATAGAGCTTGGGTCATCTTTCCTATGGAATGCTAATATCAAATTTCCTGCAATTACCTTTAAGCCATTTAAAGAAAACAGAGAAAAAAATATCAGGTTCAATTTATAATTGATTTATAATTTCTTCCTTATTTTTAATATTTTCTTGGGTTTCAAATAAAAAAAATATCTGTTGTTTGAAATTTAAAGAGGGTGGAGAGATCAAAGAGAACGATCAAAGCTTTTGCCAATAAGAAATGGATTCCAATTAAATTGCAAAACCCATATATTTGATTGTGAACAACTTCATGTCGCCAAAGATTTTTATAAAGAACTAATTCATTTGATGATCAGCCTAAGATCCAGAAGCTTAAAAATACAAGTGAAAACGAAGGTCCAGTGATTGCCTCCAGATCGATCTCCAAGTATATATTTGTCCATGTTAGTGAAGAGGAGAACAAAGAAAGTAGCAAGAGAAAGAAATAATCATAGCAGTACGAAGATTTTGAAAAGAAAAAAGTTCCGAATAATTCCTTCACCACCGATGGTGCCCTTTTGCCGCTAATGCTTGATCTACCACTACAAACTAGTCCCGCCATTTTTATCTAGTATAAATGATTCATTGCATTCTCTTTAACGGAGGATGTATTTGGGATGGAATTTCAATGGAGATCCAAAGTTTGTTTGATTATTTGGATGGAAATCAAGGCTATGTTTGGAAATGATGCAAATAAGTGTGGATGCAAATATGTAGAGTGTAAAATGGTTCATATAAATTGTAAAATTAGATTAATTTTGCACTAACAAATTTACCTTCTTACTAAACAGACTTTTAGCTATAATGGATGCAAACATAAATTCAATAAAACATATGTTTTTTTTTTTTTATCAAAAGTCCACTTGAATGCAAATTTACTTCTTTTTTATTAATATACTTTTACATCTTATTATCAATATATATATATGCATTGATCTATTATTTGTCAATGCATAAATGTAATACTGCCAAATACAGGTAAAAGTGAACTAGAGTGCAAATTTACTCTAAACCGGAATTTACACTCCATTTACATCGTTTCCAAATGCAGCATGCAGCACAAGAATTTGTTTTGGATTGGTAGAAAACTCAAACATTGAAATTGCTTACTGGGTAGTATCAGCACATAAGCGTCAAATTGTATTTTATATAATCTCTGTTCAAAATGTTGAATAATCATCAATCAGCCCAAGCATTTACAATTATCATGGCCTTTGATCTTGATTTGATATTGATCTCTGTTAGGGGTACTATGGCTCATCACAAAAGAACAAAAGGGTTGAACTCAAATGGTGAACATACAGGACGCCACGACTAATTTTTGACTATTTCTTCAATGAAGTCAAATAGAAGGAAAAGGTTAAATGGGTAAATTTGGATTTTTAAAGAAATTTACGTATCAACAGATTTGGACGGAATGCCGGGGAAGTATTTGTCCGATGATATTATGATATAAGGGAGGTCTTAGTGCATTTAAAAAAAAAGGGGGAAAGTTTCAGTATTTATAAGAACGTCGTTTACCCTCAAGATTTTTAAAATCGACCCGAAGAATGAATCGGTCAGGGGTCTGGTTTATGGGTCAAATGGTCCGATTATTTGAATCGAATAGTGAATTCATTTAAACAAAAAAATAAAAAAAACGGCCAAAATTGTTCGAAGTAAAATTTCATGCTTTCTTTCACGAGGGAAACAGGTCAAGGCACTACTGGAATATATATACTCTTGCGTAGAGGCGGTCATTAGAAAATGCCTCTATAACATATTAAAGACGACTGACTGACTTTGTTCGGTTATTATAGATGCCGCTGAATTGAAATTTTTAGTTTTTCACTCCTCCGTATATTGGCAGAAATAAGAGTAGGCGCTCTCAGGTTTGGCGCCCAAAATTCATTTGCGCGACCGTTCCCAAAACTCTTCGAAAAAAGTTGTTTAGTCTTCTCTAATTAAACCCTTGTTCGAAAGAACCCTTTCCTACACAATCCTCACCCCTCTACCCGTCCCTCTCCTCCTTCCTTTTTCATTTCTTCCTCTTCCCTCTCTCTACTCTTTTCGGCTTTCCCACATCATGCTACTCTGTCACTTTATCCTTAGAGAAGAAAATCAAAATACTGAAACCCTCTCTCTCTATCTCATTTCGTTTTCCCTCTCTCTTTTTTTTTCTTTTTATGTTTCATTTTTTACCGAACCCTAATCAATACCTAGTAGGAGATGGACCAAGAGAAGCAGAAGCAACAATGGGTATCGACCTAATTGTAGAGGAAAAAGCAAGAAGACCAAGTGAACTGCCCCAAAATCCAATGACATTTGCCATGCTCGTCAAGCTATATAGATTTCTGATATGGAGGACAGTAAGCAAATTCAATGTGGTGATTCTAAAGAGGCTGTTAATTATGAGCAGGGTCAACACAGCTCCGTTGTGCCTTTCTCGATTGATTAGCTAAAGGGAAAGGAGGATAAAATCATGGTTCTTGTTGGAACAGTTACCGATGATACTCGGGTTTATGAGGTGATGACTTTAAGGTTTAAAAAGATAACGAGAGCAAGAATTTCGAAGGCAGCAGGTGAATGCTTGACATTTGAGCAACTGGATCACAGGGATGCACTTGGGCAGAACATGGTTCTTCTCAGAGGTCCTAAGAATGTTCGTAAATTAGTGAAACATTTCAACAAACCATATGTACGGTCCAAGGGGAAGAAATTTGAGAGGGCTGGAGGGAGAAGAAACAGTAGAGGATTTAGGGTTTGTGTCATTTGTCAGTGCTATGGAGGTTTTTGTCGTGTACTATTCTGGCTCAAAAATTTTTGTTGGCATCGATCTTTTATTTTTTGGTAAGCAATTTTTGTTGGACATCTAACCATCTAGACATCTATGCTTTATTTTCCCTTTCTATCAGATGATTTGAGCCTTTATTATTCTAAATTGAATGGTAGTAATCATTACATGCATATGTTTGGTTATGCATTGTTTCTTTCAAGGAATCTTACATAGATATAAGAGAGTTCAATTTAAGTTACTTATGATGCTGAAATAAGTAATCTAACGTGCTAGGGGGACGAAATGCTTGCAGGAAGAAGAAATTAATTGAGTTGTTAGTCATACCTAGAAACCTCTCAATTTAATCTCAGGCATCAGGTATGCTTTCTAATTTTTCATTGACTACTCAGGGATTTAATGAATTATGTTAACATTCTCAATGAAAACAAGAGGATTTTATTGCTTTTTCAGCTGAAACAAAATATTGCTAAGATACAAGACAGAACAATTGATTAATTTATTCTATTTAGCTATTGTCTAGACATGTTTGTTTACTCTGTTTTTTTATTGATTTCTTTTTCAATTTTATGTTACTTTGGATCGTAAAATGTTATAACTTGTAAGTGGTATTAATTATTTATTTTCTTAACCATATCTGGTTACTCGTATCTCTCTGTTAAAAATGCTTAAATTCAAAAATTTAGTAAACTTCCACCTTTCTTTGCCTCTACCCTCTCTATTATCTAGGACAACTTATAATCAACCTAAAAGGTTTTCTTGTTCAGTAGATCCAACATCTGACATCTCAACTACCACAGGTATT